TCGCTGGCTGGGCGGGACTGATGGTAAGCACCAATACCGGTAGGATATAGAGGCTGGTAGAAATCATAGAGGAAGCACAATGGACCACTACAGGTCTAAGCGCATGGGGAAACCCACCGTCTCTAATAACTAACTGACTAACTAACTAACTCTCCCTTGTGAACATCGGTATTTGTTTGTTGGACAAAAGTCGCTTCACCGAAGTTGATGTTTGGGAAGGCGCATTGATACGAAGTAAGATCCATATGTATAGCGAAAATTCTGTCCATATTTGTCTGGCATAAATTTTGTGAGGCAGAATGCTTGATTCGTTGTTTTAGAGGAAAGGATTCGTGTGCTTAGTTAATTTGATACAGCGTAGTCGGTATAGCAACTAGCTACAGGCTGGACGACCGAGGGGTCGGAATTCGAGTCCTGGTAGGGTCAAGAATTTCCTCTTCTCCGTCTTGTCCATACTGGCTCTGGGGTCCATGCAACCACCTATCCAATGGGTAACTGGGGCTGTTTTCCCGGGGGTAAAGCGGCAAGGGTGTGAAGGTGACCACTCGCCTCCATCTAGTGCGGAGTCAAGAAAATGTGGATCTATACATCCACTCACCCATACGCCTTCATGGCTTAGTGCTTAATTAGTGAAGCACAGGGACAACTTTGCCCCTTATTATCAAGAAATCTCAGCACAATGGCCTTGACATGTGATTCTGACATTCGTCCGTTTTGATTCTCGGAGACTTTCTCCCGAAACATTACCACTACGCCACGTTGGTAATTTTTTACAGGTATTATTATTATCACCCATTTCTAATAACCACGGAAAGATGACTATCATCACCTTCACGAAGCCGGCATGTAAAGAATTACGCAGTGAAATTAACGAAATTCACACAGGCCAAATTAATATTTCTAAACAGGAAATCCTATTGTTAGTTCCGAGGTCTCCTGGGTTTGCCCGAGGACATTCTCACTTTGCGTGCCTCTCTCCTCCGCAATCCCTCACACGTTTACGTGTCTTTACGACTAGTTCAGCAGGTATAGAGTAGGCTTCAGTTTACATTGTGAGAGTTGCAATGTGTGTCAAGTCTGGTCCCCCTAAGCAGCTTCCAGGTCAGGCTTGGCTGCCCTCCTTCGCCTGTCTTACAGATGAAGTCAAAGCCCGTTGGCAGTTGCTGTCTCATCTGCGGTAGCAGCTAGCTGCTGTCGTCTCAGTGGTTGTAGCACTGTGTAATTCTAATCAGGTATTTGTGAGTAGGTTTACTGTGGTGAGCGTTATTTTGTACAAGCATTTTTTACCTATCTCGAAATAGAACTTGGGCCTAAATATGACATGTTCGTAATTAACACCGTGCAACATTGTCAGTTGTTTCGCATATTTTGTGGTGGTGTTTTAGTGTGAAAGTCTAGAAGTAATTTTTTATGTAACAATTCCAGGGCCGCGCCATAGCTCAAGCGGTTAGTCGCGGGTTTCCCACCGCCGCAGCCCAGGTTCGAGCCCGTTTCTGGTCATGTAGGATTTGTGGTGGACAAAGTGGCGCTAGGCCAGGTTTTCTCCGAGTACTTCGGTTTCCCCTGCCAATCTTCATTCCACCAATTGCTCCACACTCACCATCATATATCATCTGGGGCTGGTACAGTAGACCAGTAGTGGCCGCAGTTCCAAGTGGACTCAGTGTCACCCCTCTAAAAATAATAAACAAAAACTCCGTGGCCTGTAGTTCGCAAGCGAACTATACCGACTGAGCGACCGCCGTTTGTCGGCGAAATAATTGCCAACTTTAGCGGATAGAGGGTGTCGCGTGGTCAGCGCAACGGATCCCCACGGCCGTTAATCTCGGGTTTCTAGACCGGACCACTAATAATAATAGCAATAATGATGATAATAATAAGAGACAGTTCCAGGGCCCATCTTTTTGTTATGTCCGTGTGCTAATACGTGCGGGAGTCCATCGCCTATCCTTTCGGATATTGTGATATATGTGATTTAGTATATCCCAGTGAAGTTTAATAAGTGTAACATACAAACAGAAAGGGACTGCATTTCCGAATCATGCAGTTTGTGGAGAAAAGCTATAAACGTGTTACTCTGTGGAGGCGTACAAACTTGTAATACGTAGTAACAAGTTCTTACAATATAATTTAACGCCGGTTTTTAAGTTTATTTTTGCCGAAACTTGTGGAGTGAATTGATTTCTTCAGTCACAGAGGTTGCTGTTATTCAGCGTTTTTTTTAATGATAAGCAGATGCTAATCTCGGCGAGATGAAGATGATGAAGCGGGAAGTTCAATGGACTGTGAAGTTTATATAGTTGGATTATAGATATGCTTCAGAAGTTCAAAAATTTTGTTAACATGGCAGAATTACTATGCTTATAAGAATGACACGGTAATTTCTTCATTGGCTAAAGCTTTTCATCTTCTGGGGTGTAGCGCCGTGTGGTCCGCTGAAAGTCAGCCGACGTTTAGGAGGAACCCGTCGTACCCATCATCAGAGTTGTAAAGAAACCAGCATGAACCAGGCAGCAAGCAGAGCGTCCCTGCTTCATGTTGATCTCTTCCTTCGCTGTGTCTTCAACCCTGAGGATGGACGCGAGATGTTCCTCCGAAACGTAAATCGACGTTCAACGGGCTACATGGCGTTTTATTCCAGAAGATACTCTTCATAACCACTGCAGTGGAAAGCTCAGATTCTTTAATAGATGTAGTTAAATTCAGTTTGTGAAAATGCTCAAGATGACGTAAACAGCAAGCTTAAATATTTCCAGTATATTAGTAGAACAATAGAAATAACTGAACACAAAACGAGGAAAGAACGCAGTTGAAATTCTGTAAAACCAGGACAGTTTCGTGCTTGGTGTATGGTAGCGGAACATGGACTCTTAAGAACAGAAGAAAGACGACTGGAAGCAGTGGAGGTGCGGTTTCCACGGTATGTAGCAGGTTATACTCTGTGGACAAGGAAAGGAGTGACGAAGTAAGGCCACAGTTAGGAATGAGGAAGTTGGACAAACGAATATGTGAAAGGAAACAAAAATTGGCCGGAGCATCTACTTAGGATGCCATCAGAAAGCGCTCCAAAGCAAATGCTATATTATCAACAGAGGGGAAGACGTAATCCAGGAAGATCGAGAAAAAGATGGCTAGATGCATGATGACTGAACAGGCTAACAAGCTCAACCCTCAAAGATTAGTATTATTATTATTATTGATGAATATATGCTTCCGTGAAATGACGTTTCTGTTAGACGCAGAATTTTGTTATTGAATATATGTTTGCTAGAAACTGAATTTATGTTCCTCTGTCATAGTTAAAATTCCTTAACCGTATTATCTGGGTAAAGGAAGATCTGTTTTAGAAACTCGTGCTCTGTGGCCACGTATATTGGATAAGGCTACAAAAACTGGGAGGATGCAGTATGCTTTAGGAGCAGATAACCTATATACGCTTAGGGACATGTGCTACACTGTGCTTTCCTGAATTGGTTGTTGTAATGACGTAAGAATACAAACCTTTCATATAATTTCACACAGCAATCTCTCATCAACCGCCGGGGTACATTGCTGAAAGTCACCGAGGTTGGTAAGCAAGACTTTGTGGAAATTCAGGACACCAAGTCCGCCCTACCCATGTCAGTTATGGGCCTGTTATTTACCTGTGTACACAGATTTAAACCCACCGATAAAATGAAACCAAATATCGCGGTTAGTAAAACAGGTTACATATAACAAGCCGTGGGTACTTGCAATCTACGTCTGCAGCTGGTGAATAGTTAACCGCTACGGAAGCGGAACGGATCTGATCGGATCCCACCGGAGTCTCGCAGACCGATCGGTAGAACTCGTTAATTTATTTGAACAGTTTCTGTCGTCACAAAAACGGAACACAGCTTGACCACAACCTTCACATTCACGCAAGGAAACCGTAAGGTAATAGTTTTTTACTTCCTTGTTATGACCGAGTGGTCAGCTGGAAGACAAACTGTTTTGGCTACGATTGGATCTGCTCGGAGATGATAGTAACGGACCACGTTCATTAAGATATTGTTTCATTTGTCCTGTCTGGTCGGCGATACTCGAACCGATATGATTCGGCCCGAACTGCGGTACTGGAAGCGTCGTTAAATAACGCACAAAAGCTGGTGATCCGTTCCGTTCCGTCCCGTCTGCAGTATGACCATAGCGAACTGTGAGTGGTTTGAAGTTGTGGAGCTGAGGTCGTTGAGGTCGTTGAGGTTAAGTTACAAGCCTGCACTGTTGTGATCGGGGATCACCACGTAACGCACCAACAGAGTGAGCATAACCCCAACAGCTTACGAAACTTAGCTCTGAAATTGGTTTTACCCTTATGCCCATGAACCCCCCCCCCCCCCCCCNTATTTTTGCTTTAAACAGCTAAATCCAACTTGTTCACCCTAAGTTATCACAGATTTCATTAGGATACTGGGTAATATTTTCACCTTAAGTGCGTACAAAATTGAGATTTTTACCGTGGGACTGTGAAAATTACCCAATTTTACAATGCAGTACCACGGAATGAGGTCCTTATTCCACAGAGACAAGAATCCCACAACTTCTGGCAAATATGCTGCAGCAGTGCTCACATTGATAATAATTGAGGCGTATTCAGATATGAATATGAATCGTACATCTATCAATTTATTACATTATTTTTAAAGTAAAAATTGTTATTCCATTTATGTAAGGTTTTTCAGATAAAATTGTTATGCCATATTTCAAAGGGGGCCTCACGTTTAAAAGTTAGAGAACGGATGACTTAAATGAATATTGAAGCAAGTTAAATTACCGTAACCGTGTGCAACCATAGAGGGATTATTCATAATTACTAGACCTGATGCAAAGAAACATCTGTGACAAATTAGTTTTAGTACTACCAGCTGTAAAATAAACCACTGTATAGCATAAATCTATCAATACACTGTAGGCTGCTCAGAGCAAGATGAATATTCGCTTTTGAATTTATTTTAAACGCTTTTGTTTTCTCTTTCCAGATACATCGTATGAGAAGGCGTGTAGAAGGGGCAGCGCTCCGGCCACCCCTGTTCTTGGAACTCGCGCCCTTGAACTTACACCCTCCAGGATAGTGGTAAGTTTGAGCAATTGGTCTTGTAAAATGGCAGTTATGAATCCACCTATCTGATTTGCATAGAATATAAAAGTCCATGCTTTTATAGTAGTTAATTGTATGTTGTTTGCAGTAAAATGGGCATGGTGGTTTGTTCTTGGTATTTATATTTTCTGTTGAATGTTGGTGAATGGATACCTTCTGTGTAAAAACTTGTGGCATTTCATTGTCTCAAAGTAGTACTATCCCAGGATAGATTCAAAATTGTTTTCTTTATTTTTCCATAAATTTCATTAAATCATTTATTATGATTTATATTAAAATATTATGAATACTGTCATGTTAGGAGATAATATATATATATATATTAAGTTAAAGATTAGCTTTATTGAAACTGGTAACAAAAATTTAAATGTTCTCCCAGCTCATAGAAGTTCAGATAATCGGTATACTAGATTTGCCCAATTCATTGTTTGTTGTTAATAATAAACTGTAAAATTTAGTGATTTTATAATCATCTTTTATTAAAATCAGAATTTAGTTTAAACATGTCTTATTATTATTATGGCTCTACAGCCCCTTGTTGGGCTTTGTCCGCTTTTTCAGTTTCTTGATCCAATACACAGTCATAGGACCCCTTGGATGGGGGATCAGCCAGCTGCAAGGCCCCTACCTACACACAGAACAGCACAAACACAGAATAAATGCACACAAGACAGACATTCAAATCTTGAGTGGGATTCGAACCCACGATCCCAGCATTTGAGCGAATGAAGACGGTGACTTATACCGTGCAACCACCGTGATCAGCATTTAAATATGGATACTACTTGCATATTGATATTCATTTGGGAACCTAGAATATGTGGTTGACTGTTTATGGAACAAATTTATTGAGACATCATGTTATTCCTTTCCTGTCCCTCGTCACAGCAGGTTCTCAATGCCAGAGGAATGTATAAATATTGAATGCTTAATTCTGTCAGGCATATTTGATAGTAGCGATTCGTTTTGTTAACTTTTTCCATGTGATGTATATAGTAGGTGGAAATTCCCGCATACCAGTTTAGAAGCTGCAGACCTTGGAGACCATATATGGATATGATTTTATATAATTTATGTAACTTTTTTAAGTTAACAGTACACATATAAGATGTAACTCATAATTAACTTAGAACTCCTTTTGTTTCCCATTTTTGTTTTGTTTTGATGGGGGGGGGGGCAGAAATGTTTCTCTTCCAGACACTTTCAGATTGCTCTAGGGTACACGTATATGCGAAACTACACATATCCAGCCCCCCATATGTCTTCATGGAGTGGTGTGTAATTAAGTGTGGTGCAACTTTGCTGTCACTGCTGCTCTTAGCAGTTAGTTCTGTAATAGTATACTTACCTTAATTTTTTTTTAATTTTCATATTGGGGGGGGTGGAGCCCAGGTGGGTTCTCTCATCATGTCGGCCACTGATTGGCCTATTGTACCTGTCCCGGGTGATTGTGATGGAGTATTTGGTGGAATGAAGATTGGCAGGGGAAACTGAAGTACTTGGAGAAAACCTGCCCCAGCGCCATTTTGTCCACCACAAATACCACTTAACCAGACCAAGGCTCGAACTCGGGCCACTGTGGTGGGAAGCCAGTGACTAACCTCTTGCGTTATGGTGTGGCCTTACTAAAAAGCCAAAAAGCGAATAAATTTTTTTGAAATTGTTTTGACTGTGTGACTTCATTTTCAAAACACATTTTAATATCTGTTTATCTGCTAGTCTTGTAAAAAAAAGGAGTTGCCTGTATACTTGCCCTAACAGAGCAGGGCATAATTTTAAAACAAAATTTCCTTTAGTGCAGTGTAATGGTGTTCATAACATATATTTGTTTTGCTTACATCTTGTAAGTAGGTGAACCTGTTTACAACATTAAACCAAAGTATGCAGAAGCAAAATAATGAAGATAATGAAAAATGATAAGGTAATGATGATATAAAATCATTTTGAAACTTAAAAGGAATAATTTATAATAGAAATATCTTAGGACAGTAAACCAATTAGTATGCCAATTTATAAAGAAGAAAGCGGACATTCTTGGAATCCTGATATTTTACAGAGTATATTTTTGTGTCAGAAAGAGTTTCTGATCCGAAGTTGGTAGTTCATTTTTTTACACTCCCATCTGTACAGAATGTGAAAGTATATGTAATATTACTGTTAATATTTTTCAGAACTTCTTCTCGAAGCGATCTTTCAGATCGAACCCATTGAAGAGGACCAAGAGTGTCACAAAATTGGAAAGAAAACGAGTTCTCGACAGTGACGGGTAGGTACTATATATACAGCTTGCTGGACACAGCATTGCAAGTGTAGGAGGACTAGCAGGAAATTCCCATGTGATTGTTTTGAAGACAACAGCAGACCTTGGAAAGCATAATGTTTCATTCTAATTGCCTGTAATTATGATTCATACTACTACTGATTGTAATATTGTATCATGTAACTACTTTATGGGTAAAGGTTTTGAAGGATTGTTAAAATCAGTTTGTGGCACAGAAGTTGACTGCAGAATGTTTGTACAGGCTCTAAACTTTCATTTCTTGCTGTCTCATGTCAGTTTCGTTACTTTCCATTTTACTTTCCCATATGTATACGTGTATAACATAGAGAAAGTATTCTGATTAAAAATCACAAAATTTTGAGGTTGTTATTTCAAGTTTTTTCGTTAAAGTTGTTTTAATCCATTGTGTTGGAATTGTGTTACAATAATATCTGACCCATAGGCTGTTGATTAAACCTGGGGCTTTGTTCTCAACTGCCATTCGCAGAAGGCAGGAAGGTAACCTTTGTGTATCGTTTAGCTAGTTTCTGGCAGTTGTTTACTGTTATATAGTTTATTTATGTTAATGTCCTTTGATCTCCATGATTTGGAAGAGCCATAATGCAGATTTAATTGACCACTCCAGATGCAGAAGCCATTTAAATGCTCATACATGGGAGCATACTTTTCTCAGATGTCACCTAACATAATTTCTGCATTTACTGTCACAGTGTTGCTGCCATATCATAAGTTTATATTGGTGCTGTATTGGTGCACTCACACTGGGAGCAAGGATATGTCATGAGCTTGTGACAGACTGTTAACATCAGTCCTCAGAATTATTGGGTTTTTGGTCTTTTTCCATCAACCAGAATTCTAGAAAATAGAAAACATGACATTTCAGAAACTGGATCTCTTCCCTTCCTCACCTGAAGACAAACAGATCCCATTTCCGAAACATCGTGTTTTCTGTTTCCTAGAATTCCGGACGATGGAAATGTTCTGAAAACCCAGTAATTCTGTGTGTTATCCACCATCGTCAGAACCCTTTAGAATTTAGTTGTTACTTTAGTGGTAGAAAGTTGCTAGATTCTATTTTGGTATCATTGCACAGTGGGAAATTCAGACATACTTACACAGGACTTGTCTTTTGTAACTTTGCTGCGCAAGGTCTGGTTCGTAGAGTAGATGACCTTTATTTTTAAAGAGAGAGATGTTGTGAGATGGGAAGGTGAGATAGGTGAGATAAGACACCAAAGAGATGGGTTTTGAAATGTCTTCTTAATGTTCAGTTGTATGAAGCTAGTCTGATGGCCATTCAGCCTGCTGTATGATAAAATTTAATGCAGTGCATAAAATGTAAAGTTGGGTATGTCAGTGCCCAACCACTGATCAGGTTGTAGAGTGGATGTTCACTTTTTACTTCTCAGAACGTGGTTACTGTAATAGTACAAGTTATATTGCCATTTACTTGCTGCATCGTCACTGCTGTGAAAGTACTCATTGGCATAAATAAGCATGTAAAAGCCATTGTGTAAATATTTATATGAACATATGTATGCGGTATATTTTCAGAGTTCCGGTACCACCACGGCTGCGTACATCACGGTCTCACGAGTCTTTGCTGTCTGGCCAAAGTGTAATGCAGACTCTGGATTTGGGAGCAGGGGGCGTGGAGATCAAGCCCCTACATCCCTCAGTCCTAGGCCGTGAACACTGTTTCCAAGTTACACTTCCTGCTGGCAGCCCACGCTACTTCTCATGTCGGTCAGCTGACGAGCGAGACAAGTGGGTGCACAGGTAAGTAGTGAGGTCCCCATTACCTGACAGCCCTTCAAGGAAAAATATGATCACACAGATAGGTAGACCGTAACCTGGTTTGTGAGTTCGTTTCCAGACTTTTTATGAAGTTGAATCTGTCCCTAAACTACCTGTGCCACTTTGTTATGTTTCAGTCTACCATGAACACCTACTTGTGAATGAAAATATGGCATATCTTGACTCATTTTCTTTCCCCTTTACTGAAGTAATTCAGAATCCCAGTGTTATGCTACGAGATGGTGTCATCACCACAAAATAAGACACACCAAATTGCCATGAAATCCCAAAGCCATCTCTAAAAATGTGTTTAGACATGTTGAATGTGACTAATTCAGAAGATCAGCATTGGGACAAAATGCATAGTGGAAGGATTTTATTACATGCTTTCCCTCGGATATTGTATGTTAAATGAAACAGATGTAGTTGAGAACTGGACAACTTGTTGTATGTGTTTGTTTGTTTACCAGATTCTTAACAGTTCTGGTTACAGTTTAGCTCATAGCCAGTAATCAGTGACATAGTACAGTCAACTCTCGATTATCCGGGGGTGGATTAACCGGTTTGCGGCTTAACCGGGGCTGCTGAGGCTTTTTTGAGGCTTATATATTGTTTAATATTCACTCACTTTTGTTTCACATGGCGAGTTGTAACACTATTTTCACACTAGTGTGAACCGAGCACTGCATTCTTTGGTCCCATTATGCTAACACAGTGTTCTAGGGTAGGGGTGAAAGAATGCAAGGATTTGTGGAAAGTTTCAAGGACAGATACATCGCCCTAGTTAGTATCTTTGTATCGATCTTCAAGTGCGTTAGCAAAATATCGGGGTGTAAAAGGAAGCGTGTTGTGTTAAGTATTCAACAGAAAAAGGAAAAAAGTAAACGACAATATTAAATTTTTTGTAAGTGTTAAGTGTGAATATTCGTAAAAAATGTTGGACGTTGTTGAAGACTGTGATTGAAATAACTAATTCATATTTCAGTGTAATGTAAAAAAAGTATTAAATAGGCCATGAGATGACATAAAAATGAGGTTGAATAAATTTAAATACAGGTAGGCCTATAGTATTATTAAGGTACAGTATTACAGTACTACTTTTAATAAAATTTGTCTTAACCGGGTTTTCGATTAATTGTGATTTCCATCCCCACCATTATCCCGGATAATCCAGAGTTGACTGTATTTGTAAATCATGTAAAGAGAGGGTTCATTGGAAGAAGAGATAATATTGTATTATCATGTGCATAGTATTATGTTGTTTGAATAATCAAATGTTGAATAGTTTGAGGGGCTGGATATTGATAATACTGTATACATAAAGGCAGTACCACGTCATAACTGATATCAGGAGAGAGATCAGATGAGAACGCCTCTTTGTAGAGTTTGTAAAGAAATAATGTGCAGATAAGTAAAGTAAGTAAAGGTATCCCCGTAACAGGCCGTGAAGGCCTGTGAGATCTTGAGGGTTCCACATTTTCTAGACAGTCGGCTCACAGATGGTGGCAAGGTTGTCAGCCCTACGCGCTGGCCGCCCTTTACCCCCAAGAATATTTCTGGTACTCATTACTGTTAGAGTCTGAGTTGACCCCAAGGCCATAGTGTGGCCAGAAGGATTAGGTCAATTGAAAAAAATTCAGTGACCTCATTGGGACTTGAACCCATGACCTTCCAGCTTGTAGCATTGGGCCTCAACCAACTAACTACAGTATATTTAGGCACAATAGATCACTGTGGTCGCGGTGCAAGGGCCAAGAAGGCCCACCCCATATACATTCAACTATGCTACTGCGTGCCCACAAATAATGTGCTGATGCTAACAGAAAATATTCAGTGCACTGTTGTAAACACTTGTAGTAAAAAAAATCATGCATTAAGAATTCAGCAAGGTGTCAATGTCGGTGAGACAATGTTTTGTTTCAGTTTCACAGCTGCATGTTAGTTTGAATGTTCAAGACTTGTTTAACAGCAAATTTTTGGTACATGTTGATTATAATTAGAATAATGTGGAAAATAGAGAGTTTTTTCCTACTCTGTTTATGCAATTTTTATATTACTGTCAATCCAATTTATCTTGGAAGTATGAATTTGTAAGAAGATTATATAGATCATTTTATAGATGCTGTTTACCTCAAGTAGTTAGCACCAGATAACCTGGCATCATTTGTGACATTTAAAGTTTGGCACTGTTTGTGCCCCCCCACTCCAAGGTTTAAATTTTGTTGTGATAAAGCTGTTTCATTGGTGACCAAAACTTAAAGTAACTGAATCACTGGTACAGTAAATTAGGTAAGAAGGGTATCATGCCAAGTGAAGGAGGATGAGATGGGCAGGGCATGTAACAAGCATGGGGTGAAGAATGCATATACGGTTCTGGTGGGAAGGCCAGAGGTAAAGGGACCACTAGGAAGGCTTAGGTGGGAGGACAGTATTAAAATAATCTCAGAGCTGGGTGGCATGGACTGGATTGATCTGGCTCAGGATAGAGACCAGTGGAAGATTCATATGAATGCAGGGATGAACCTTTGGATTTCATAAAATGCTGGGCAATTCATGAGTAGCTGCACAACAGGTGGCTTCTGAGGAAGGGCTCAGCTCCATGGAGTTAGTTGGTTAGTTGGCCACGCCATAGCTCAAGCAGTTAGTTGCTGGCTTCCCACCGTGGCAGCCTGGTTTTGATCCTGGCTCTGGTCAAGTGGAATTTGTGGTGGACAAAGTGGTGGTGGGGCGGGTTTTCTCCGAGTACTTCGGTTTCCCCTGCCAGTCTTCATTACAGTAGGCCAATCAGTGGCCGACGTGCCGAGTGGACAGAGTTGGACTCCACCGCCCACTAAGCAAATTTTTTTTAGTTGCTTAGTTTAGGCTGTCATGAGTGGACTACAGAGGGAAAATTTCGCCTAGAAATGATGAAGATTGCAAACTAAAAATCTGAGTCAGGATGTGCAGTACCATGGCAGAGACTTAGGCTGGCCACCTATGGAATATACGTGAGGCTGTCTTACCCCTGAGCTGCTGTTCTGAGACAATAATATTTCATTTGATCTTCCTGATATCATGTTTTATTCCATATCTCATCATTATTCATCCTTTCTCTTGGATCTGGTGAGATAAATTTAAATTCTAAATCTGCTCTATATTTTCCATGATCTTGCAGTCTGCGGAAGTCTGTTCAACCAGATCAGGAACATGTGCGACGTACGGACAATTCCCTCAAGATCTGGATTCTCGAAGCCAAAGGAATCGCAAACAAGAAGAGGTGAGTTAGGACTAACACACTACTTCCTGAACACTATTGTTCTACAGAACTCTTCCTTAAAAACAAGAATGTTTGAATCTCTCCTGTAAAAGTACGTTTTGTGTTGAGATCTCCCTTACTTCACCTAATCCATTGTCACGTGAATTAAGTATTGTAATTTGCTGTTTACAGGTATTTCTGTGATTTGTGTCTTGATAAGACGCTGTATGCCCGTACATCATCCAAGCAGAAGGGAGACATGTGCTTTTGGGGAGAACATTTCGATTTTCACAACCTGCCTCTTGTGAATGTTATTAATGTGAATCTGTTCCGTGAAGCTGACCGCAAGAAGAAACGGGACAAAAATGTCTTAGTTGGTAAGCATGTAAACTATGCTTGTTGCACAGATTCGTGTGTCTGAATATATTTGTTAAGGGCAAAAACTAAGAATGAGGGAAAAACCCATGTTGTGTATGTATAAGTAACAGTTCTCAAGAAATGGAGATGGGTGTGAGTACATTCATGTAACATTTGGATGTTCCAAGAAGTCTCACTTGTTCAGTATGTAAAAGTCTGTCCAGAAAATCAGTCACTGTAGGATTTATTTAGTATATGTAGATAGAATGAAACATTGTAAATTTTGTTACATTTATGTATGTAAAATGTGTATGTACCTTACAGGTTTTGGTCTGGCTAGGCCATCGTCAGAGTTCACATCAACATTAACTGCAAAAACTGCACATATTTGCATTACATGCTGAATGTCTATATAAGGATCTTATATCTTAAAATTGTAGTCAAAGATAAAACTTTTTAGTTAATTGTAAGTCAATTAAAAATTAATTACATTGAGATTTTATACTAGTAGTGCAATTAAGTATGTTCCATTTATGAGGAGCAGTGTTTTTGAATCTGCAAATATAATGTAGGAATGCATTAGAACTTTTATTGATTTATTTATGTAATTATGAAAGTGTGAATGTATGAAAATGCTTCCCATTATACCTAATGTTTATGTTATGACCAAATTTGTAGTTTGCTGTGGGAGATTTAATGGTGGGTTGATCTGTGGTACTATATATATGTATGATTTGAGTGTAACGGGATAAGAGGGCATGTCTAAATGAGCCATGGCTGTGTCCAAAAGAATGTTGCTATGATTGTCTTCATAGGTTTTTGTTTAGTTGCATTGTTTAAATATATACCGTATTTACGCATGTATAGGCCGCACATTTTTTGCCAAAAATTCAAGAGGAAAACTGGGGTGCGGCTTATATTCGAAATATTCAAAATCACACTTCATTTAAAAAAATTATATTCATAATTAGTAATACAGAGTGTTCTACTCCTGAAATAATATTCCAAGAAAATTATTTTTTCTATAATTTCTGTCTGAAAATTGTGCTGTGGCCTATACACGCACGCAGCCTATACATGCGTAAATATGGTAAATGTAAAAGTTTTCTTTTATATTCATAATGTGACCGTTTTTAGCGTCATCTATTTTGTCCATAATTTCTTCCATTTTCCATAGCATTGCAAGTTTCTTAGTATCTGTGTTCACATTGCTAATCTTCTTTATTAAATTTAATACTTTGTGTATGTTTCTTGTGTCTAGTTCTTAGCGATCGTCCAGTTCTCCCTACATATAATTTTTTACATTCCAAGCATGTTAGTTTGTTTTATTGTTGACTATAATTTTAAGATGTAAGGTTCTCATATAGACATGTATTGTGAATATGTATGGAATTTCAAATTAATGTTGATGAGACCTCTGGTGATGGCTAAGACAGCCTGAAACATATAAGGTAATTTGTGTATTCGCAATAAACACACATTCATATTTTATTTCTTCCAGGGAAATAGTAATGAAATGCAAAGCTTGTTACTTGTCCATGCCTCCAAATTCATCAGCCTTATATTCAGCCTTTATGCTTATTCTTTCTTTCTCCTCCTAGCAGTAAGTGTACAGAATCTGGTTTTGGAACCTCATGCCAAGTGGATACTTTGAAAACTGAGATGGAAGTGACAGTATAATATTAGAACAGATGTTGATAGTGTCCAGATGTGGACCTTTGTTCAGGTTTTTCTACCAGAATGTTAGATGCATAATCATGTTAATAATCTGAAGCTACATGGTCCTAGTAGGATCATCAGCACAACTGAAAAGAAACCAAATTTTTTATTCTGTTTTTATAGGTAGCGTAAGCATACCAGTGCATGAAGTGACATCTCGGTACCTGATAGAGAAGTGGTATCCTGTTTTGTCAGAAAAGGGAGTACCAAAGGACCCACCTTCTCTGCGGGTGAAATGTCGCTTCCAGTCAGTAGACATCCTGCCAGTTCAGGTGTACCAAGAATTTCTGCAGGTAAGAGTTAGTTGTGTTCAGTTGCTGCAGTATCTTGCTGATATACTAGGCTATGTTTATTGATAGTTTGTGGTTTTAACTATGATGCATGGATTTTCAGGCCAATGAATTAATTAGTATATATGGTCCTCTAATATGTAAATCAGGGGGATACAGTGAAAATCAGAATGTTTATGAATTTCTGTGCCCTTCATAATGACTACATAACTCCTCCCACTTTCTTTCTTCCTCTTCAAGTTTCTGTTTTTGAAGGTTATGTTTTCAGGTTATTTCTTTTTATTTTTATACAGGAAGATGATGCATGCTTAGTTCATGTTGAATGCTATACTGATCTTGTGCCCAGTTTTCTAAAGGTGCAGTTTTATGATGGTTATGGTCAAAATATGATATCTGAAGCATGATCAGCCAAGAGAAAAAAAGTTTTGTGTGGTTTGTCAGAATATGAGGGTGGAAATTTGTTTAGAATTATGAAAATGATATAATTTTTTAAATCAGAAGATACATTTTTCTAAGCAGTAATTAGCAACCAGATGCAGTTACAGCTTAAAATGGTCTGGCTGCAACAATGATGTCTGCATTGTTCGATTTTTGGTAGCCATGACATGCATAAATTTGTGATTTCATTACACTGATTCATGTCTGTTAGAAAAATAGATCAGTATTGATTTTCTGTGGTTATGTGCAAAATTGGCACTGAAGGTTATTTTTATATTGTCTCTTAAGAAAGTTGCATGGCCCTATTCATGCACAGTGGTAATTATTTTATAGATCAGGCCCATAAATCTAAAAGTATAAAGTTCAGTGAAGTTAACTTGAATTAGAACAAATATGATTGAAGATTTTCAACGAAAGAAAGTCGCTGATAGTAGTACAGAACTCGTGTTACGTATGATATTTGCAATAGTATAACTTTGATCCATTTTCTATTGAATTTCACACTACTGTGACATGTTCATATCAGCAATCTTAAAGTCTGGTAATTCCTTTAATCTTAATGTTAAGGCTAAGTGTATGGTATCATAAAATCCACAGTTCCTGAAGACAGAATACAAACCATTATGTGAAGCACTGGAACCAGTAATTGGAGTGAAGGCGAAGGAGGACATTGCAACAGCAATGGTCCACATCATGCAGAGAGAGGGCTTGGCGCAGAAGTTCCTTGCTGACATAGTCATGATGGATATTGACAGGATAGGTAAGTAACATCACCTGGGATACTGGAACGTTATACTAGTATACGTTAATACTAGTTTTTAGGGAACTGAGTTTGAAGTCAGTCTACACAGCAGTTTAAATGGGACTTAAATAAAACACTTTCTGAGGTCTCACACTTGCAGGTAAAATATCTATAGAAGTGTGTGGAGCTATCACAGTACAGTGCAGGGAATCAGGAAAACGCAGTTATATCATTTTAACCCAGAAGTAGCGACAGATCATTGTGGTACCTGCATTAGATATGTAGTGGCTGTAATTTGTTTGTTTGCATTGCTTGGTAGGAGAGAGTATATCATCGTATTCTGTGTATAGTTGGTTTGATAGGGAGATTAAGTGAAAAGAGTGACATGTGTAGAGTGTGTATGAGGGGCAACAAAGGCATACAGAGTTCTTGTTCAGTCTGTAAGAAGATACTGTTGTGGAGGTGTAGGTATAGATGGTCTTAGAGTAATAATATTTATTGTTATGTTGAAGGTGGTGAAGATTTGAACTATATTGAAGTAGCTAGCTTTGGATAGAGTTCAGTGACAGAGTTCTATGAAAATTTTGATTAATCTTCAGGTTTAGTATAAAGGAGAAATTTCATGGCCAGTAACTTTTTGGCTATTGACAGAAGGCTCTGTACCATGAAACAGTTGCTACTACCAAATATGGCTTTCCTTGTCTGTAAGAGCATATGTTGCTTGATTTAAATATCAGGCTATGATGATTTGGTTTAATCATTATGTTTCTGCTTTGAATTATGCACAGATGATGAACGCCTGACATTCAGAGGCAACTCCCTAGCAACAAAGGCAATGGAGGCCTACTTGAAACTGACAGGTGATCGCTACCTGCAGGAAACTCTTGGTGAGCTTGTGAGTTGTGTACTTAACTCAGGGCAGGACTGTGAAGTTGACCCACTGAAGGTGGCCAGTGTAGCAGCCCTACGCAAGCAACAAGACAACTTGAGGGCTGCGGTGGAAATGGCATGGTCCCGCATCTTGAGTTCACACCAGTCTTTCCCTGTGTGAGTACTTCACCATATTAGTTGTGTACATGAAAAGAAAATGTTCAATAATGCCTAAGAAGAGTGATGACTATATACAGTATATGCACCACCACTTTTTTCAGTATTAAAGAACTCTCCATTTTGCCCACAGAATGTATTGTCACAATTTAGAGTGTGTGACTCCTCCTGCAGCCCTTTGTGGGATTTGGCTCCCTTCACAATTAGCTGCCATGTATTTCATTCATGTGCCTTCTCTTTCCATTCACCAATCCTCATTCGCCATAGGTATTCCTTCACGTCTCTTCCTAGGTCTTCCTCCTCTATGAACTCCAAAGAGTTCACCATTCAATAAACTTTTCAGGGTCCTCTCACTCTCCATATGCTCCACATGACCCAGACAACTAAGCCTAAGAGATTTTGCATGTTTCACTATGTCCTCTCCTTGAAGTAAAGTATTAATTTCTGAGTTTGATCTAACCCTCCAAACACCGTCCTCACAAACAGGACCTAGATTTTTCCTTATAATTTTCCTTTCAAGTATTCAAAGAACATTTTCGTCAGAAATGTTCAGTATCCAGGTTTCAGCAGCATAGGTAACTACTCGTCTTATTAATGATCTGTATAATTTCAGTTATTTCTAATCTCTACACTTTACAAATCGCCACAGCACTCACTAAGTCTTTTCCACCCTGTTATGTTTTCACCAGGTAATCCCTGGCGATGACTTCTCTAACAGTGGAGATTCTTTAGTTTCCCATATTCAGGTTCTCTTGTCACAGCTGCCCATGCTGAACTCTTGTCAACTCCCGCAATTAACGACTGCCAACTGTGAACTGTGGAACTCTCAGTCCAATTCTCTGATGCAGCTGCCAACTATCTTGATGCCATCTCTTCTCAGTTCCTTTGCAGAGGTCAGCTGACTGCCAACCCTTGTCTCTCTCTCAAATCATTCTCACCTCACCAGGGGTTCTCATTGTATAGCCTCAGGGCAGACCCAACAACAAACACCGTTTCCTAACAATCCCTTCGTTGGTACTAGCATATTCATTGCTGCAGGGACATGTTTACTGAGCCGTTGCCTAGCAATGAACGTCAACTCAGGCTTCATCGTTCTGGCTTTCAGGCATCATGTAACAGTATTTTTGTGTTTCCTATCACTCTCAAAATGAAGAATGCTTATTCCCCTAAACAGATTTAACTAATTGGTCTTCTTTATGGAGACTGTATGGTTTCTGTGAGGTAAAAACTGAATTATTTAACATTATTTACATGAATTTTATTTTTAAATGGGTTAAGAGTAACACGTGGGTTTCCTTAACACTATGCAGCTTGAGGCATATGACACTAACATAATAATTGTGTTGTTGGGTTGTAGGGAGTTACGCGAATGTTTCCACATATTTCGAGAGCGTCTTACAGCCATGGAACGAGAAGACATTAGTGATAATCTCATCTCAGCCTCTATCTTCTTACGCTTTTTGTGTCCAGCCATTCTGTCACCAAGCCTGTTTAACATAACACATGGTAAGTGCTCTTGTAGAATGTATTAAAATGTGGTCGCCTGTAGCACACATTGTGGTTCTGTTCAGATGTGCCATCAGCACAGAGATTTACCTCGTGCCTTTTCACTATTGAAGAAATCTTGTTAATTACTGTTTATGCAAAATGTATAAGAGTTCGGTCATTCCTGTCCCATCTCTCATTGCACACGCTTCATTTCTGAAACTGCTATTCTGATTTTGTGAAATTTTTTTGCACTAAAAATATCAAGTGAAATTATCAACCCAGTAAACCACTACATAACGGGAAGCTCAGAATAAACACACTGTTTTCAAGACATTTGGTGATGCAAAAAAAAAAAAGTTGTAACACCCAGCATAGAGCTCATTAACTTTGGAAAATTTTAATTTATACATTTTTGAGCAACAAACCTGGCAAAGCTTCCCAAAAGAAAAGTGCAGACTTCTTCAAGATGCAACAAAGCGAGAACTTGAGTGCTCACAAAATGGGTTAAATGATCCTAAATGCAGCCATTGGAAACCAACCAACCATCCAACATTTTTTGATGATGGATAGATATATTTAACAAAACGTGGTACAAGGAAAAATATTTTATAAGTATGAAATGTATCATTAGTAATGTGATTAGTTTTGTGTCTGCAAAATTGTAAAGACTGTGAAGAAAGTTGTCTTCTGGGTTTTGGCGCCATGTATTCTTCGTTTTGGCTGACGTTCCTCCGAAATATCAGCCAAAATGAAGAATACACGGCGCCAAAACCCAGAAGACAACTTTCTTTATAGTCATCGCCATGAAAACCTCAAAACTTACATTGTAAAGACTGTATTTAGGAAATATCTGCATTCCAAACTGACTGGGCTGCATCTTTCTCATAAAATATAATCTCCAAATATGGATGTTGGGGAATGCATACTTGGTGTATGCCAAGCTCTGATATGATGGAGTAAATGGGTGACTGCTGTCCGGTTTTTTAGCATCATGATTTAAAGAAATGTAGCGGGGTCATGGAAATGTACAGATGTGCAGAGAGAGGCTCATTATGCATACCAGTGTGTAACGTTCCAGTGTAGTTGTTAGCTCTGTAGTTTTCTGTTTGTGATGTCTGACATTTATGTCTTAACCGAGAGACTTGAGTGTCCTGACACAGTTTTTGTGGCTTTTCTTCAGTCTCGTCAAGCAAATACAGGGGGAGTACCTTACAGTAGGGCATAATTGTTTTCTTTCATGTCATGCTCAGCATAACATCTGATGCTTTGGAAAAATTTTGTATGGATCAGAAAACAGTATGGGCATTGAAACTGAAAGGTACTAAGGGCTTATGGAATATTGAATATGTGATAACCTTGTAACCTCTGTATTTGACACTGAAGTCACTGAAATAGATTATGTGATTCACCTTCCTGAATATTGCATTGCATGACCTGCACATTAATTTTTTTGTTATGTATGGCAACAGGATTTGTTGGGAATTGCTGCTAACATATTATTTTAAATGAAATTGCTTTTTAGCAGAGTGGCTTTCATAATTATGCCTGATATCAGAGAATTTTACCCTCAGTATCCAACACTTTGGGAAACAGATTCTTCCACTTCATTCGGAATTATGTTACAGAATATCCAAATGAGAAGGCTGCACGTAATCTCACTCTTGTGGCCAAGACGTTACAGACACTGGCTTCCTTCACACGCTTCCAAGGAAAGGAGAACTTTATGGAATTCATGAATGACTTCCTGGAACGAGAAGCTCCATCAATGAAGAAATTCTTGCAACACATCTCAGTGAGTAGTGCATCTTTCGTTGCATTTATGACTTTGCCGGTGTGAAGTACGTGTCCTTTCACTCAAAGAGGTTTCGAGGCAGGAGTAAGTAGTGGCGGAGACTCACGATAAGGTTGATAGAAATTCATATAACATCTTCCATAATGTAATTACAGGAATTTATGAATTATGTAATAATCCCAAGGTAACTGGGAAATTGAAAACTCAAAGCGTTCTTAAAGCAACATTAGTGCATTGTGCATCATTCTTATGAAAAGTAGAGGCTTTAAAATTGTACTTAGAACAGAACCTTAGGAATTAAAAACATTGCTAGTACAATAAGTCTCCATATACTGATAACTTTTATTAAATGTTATATCATATTTACTAAAACCCCAAAACCTCAAGTCTAATATGGCCTTCAAAAGTAAGCTTAAAATAATAATAATAATAATAATAATAATAATAATAAATGGAATTAAGAAAATAAAGAACTATTGTGTGCGTAATTCTGTTGATAATGTGTATCTTCCTTGAATATAGTTTGAAACAGTCTTTGGTTTGTCAGATGCCAAAGCAAAGAACATGGCCTCTTTTTGTATGGGAAAAATCTGGCACTCTAATATCATCCCCCTTTTGCAGTATTGCTTACAGTAATACAGTGTTTTCAGTTGCCATGAAGTAAGAGTTTTTGTAATATAATGGATTCAAATGAACATTTGTTTTGATAGACACGCGTGCAGCGTGACTTCTCATCCCACCACTGCCTAGAGTTCGATGGCTACATTGATCTTGGCAAGCAGTTGAGCCTCCTGGCTTCTTTGCTACATGAATGTGTGGGAAAACTTGGACCTGGACGCAGTGGGGAACTCCAGCGGCTTACACGGGCGCTAGACAGGGTGCGACTGGCACAGAGTCAGCCAACGGGATTGATCCGTCAGCACAGTTCACCCCCAATGCCTGGCACTGTACCTTCACCGGGACTGAACGAACCAGGCAACAGGAATTCTGAACCAGCAGTTCTGCAGACTCTACAAAGGAACATCTTCAGGTATGAGAGCACTGTATTCACATTCACAGCACTTCATATATGTGGAAGGTCTCGTATGTAAGTATGTGTCTTATATGTAATTTTCTCTGGGATATAAGAATTTTTATCATAAAACTGAGGGAAACTGTAAATGGTGCCTAATGTGGACGTCATTTATGTCCATTTCTCTATATATGCATTTTACTTGCAAAATAACTTTGTGGGTTTCAGTTAATACTGGTGGTCTGCACTGAAAGTTGTCCAGAGATTTTGGTTGGTTTCAATCCAGTATATCCTGCAGTTCACATGAGGGGTTTTTACCACTCTCAGTTCCTTTAAAGACAGCTAATCACGCAAGAAGTTGGTACTCGACAAAGACATATTGACCTCATTAGGTTCTACAGTTTTTGATGTAATGAATGTTGAATGGAAAGCAATTTTTTAATTTTATGTTAGCATGGGATTGTTTGTAGTGTAATTGAGTTTGGAATGGTTCATTTTGTGTTTTCAATATATATCATGGGCAGTATGGTGTGCATTATCAAAAGCAGTACAGATGGAAAGTCTTTGTCGTCTGAGTTAGAGGAATTAAATTTTTTACACTCTTGTCATTTTATAATAAATCAGATCTAAAAGTTTGCGATGATGGTGTATTAATGCAATAATTGTGTTTCTGGACATTATCCAGCATCCTATTTTATTAAAAAGAAGTTTTGTAGACTGAATTCTGTTTCTGTCTTCTGGTGTCAAGTCTCCAGTCTGGAGACAGGGACTATCTTTGTTGATTGGTACCAACTGATTAGGTTCCACCTGAAGAAGGAGGCATAATCCAGCCTTGGAAATGTCGTGTGTTTTAAATAAGAACAGGATGATGAGTAATGTCCAGAAAAACAATTTTATGACAGTAAATCCTTTAACAGAAATTAATATAAGTGTTTCATCACTTGGTTTTCAGGTTTAATGACCCTACGGTATGCAATGGCAGTGTTCTGGGCCATTTCTACAATGGACAACAGCAGCAACAGCAGCATCATTATCATCATCCTACCAGTGAGATGAGTGGGTCCATGATTGGCACAAGCTCTGGTCATGTTTCACGTTCACCCGTTGTACCCCGAGCATCGACTCTGCCTCGTAATGCCTTCGTGCCTAGACTGACAATGACTTCAGCTGCTCATGATGAGTACTGTGATCCACCTCCAGCCTATCGCAGCCCCAGTCCGGCTGCACATCATTGTGGCATTCATTGCGTCCCACCCGGGAACCTGCAGCACCGGAGCGGGCGCTCCTCTTCCGTCGCTAATGGTTTAAATGGGAATGTGACTGTTAATGGGAATGTGAATGGAAATGGGAATTTGGACGAGCTGTCTGATCTGCTGCGTTATGCAGATGACGAGGCTCTGTCAGAGCACAATACCAACAAGGGCAGTCAGATCTCCATTTCACAGCTCTCCAATGTAGCTTCATCTGGGTATCAGAGTTTTGCCTACAGTCAGAGCTCAAGCCCTGTAGATCTCACTATTGCAAACAACAACAACAACAACAATAATCCTGCACCAGCAAATAATACTGTAAACAACAACAACAATAATAATAATGTGAGTGTTGTAGCAGCTGCCCCACTGGCTTTCACCAACCCAGTATATCACATGGAATTGCGGCAGCACATTGCAGCCCTGAATGGACATCGCCATTTGTGTCGGCGTCATTCTTGCAGTTCATCTTCTGAAGAGAATGGTGGTGGTGGAACATTGGAGAGGGTTGGTGGGGTGGATGTTCCTCCTTCACCTTCAACTCCAACACCACCGCCAGTTCACAAGTTCTCCCCAGGATCACGAGCTCCACGCACAAATCCGCAGTGTGCACAGAGGAGCAACTGGCGTAGCACAAACGGGCAGGCTGCCAGTGTGCTGCAAGCACAACCTCATACGTGTACCGGCAATCCAGGTAATCTCCAAATGATAACATGATGACTGAAGACTGTGATCTTTAGTTTAAAACAGGTTAATTCAAATGTCACAGATTAATTTTTGAATTGTTTCATTTTGGTCCGTTACACTATCAATCACAAAGTTAATAGAAACACACAACATTGATAACACACAAGGCTATAAAAAACATTAGATGTAGTATTCCTACTGCAGTACACAGCACACAGCACACAGGAACATATCAAACCATAAGCCATACAACCTCAAGCTGACGTCTCCCATCTTCAGGATGAATTAACAAGGATGAGTTCAGCATTTTATATCAAATATCTTCGTCATTTAGAGTTTTAACTTAAAAAAATAGGTTCGGATGAAAAGTGAGAGCTTGAGAGTGTACTCAACTATCTTAGCATGTTTTGTGCTTTTACACGTCAACATATCGTAGCAGTGTCCACACGACAAACATAATTGTGAACATCAAAAAAAAAAAAAAAGCGACAGTGTTTCCATAATTATAGCAAGTGCCTCTGATGATGGTTGTGTCAAACCGAAACATGTAAGGCAGAAATAATAATAAAAAGTGACCTACAAATTGTTACACTCGACGGACTTTCTATTAACTTTGTCACAGATTAATTTTTACTGGGTAAGAAGTGATTACACTTGTCTTACATTAAAATGGTATTTTCTAACTGATAACTAATTAACCGTCTTCTTGGTACGAGGCTTTCCTTGGACATCTTACAGTTATTTGTGTAGTCAAGACATTTTCTTATTTTACAAAATCTGAAGCTCATTATTAATTTCAATTTGAGGTTCTCACAGTTGTGGCTGTGAAGGGCACTATCTTCTGGGAATGTTACACCGTGTAGTCTGGTAGAAGTTAACATGTTTCTACTGGACTACATAATGTTGCATCCCAGAAGATATTGTCACGTGTCAGGGTTCTGTGACGAATAATAATGGGTTCCGAATTGGATGATTGGTTTTATTAACACTTTATACAATCAACTTGTACTTACAAGCAATACAGTGCTATCGCTGATTCGCACAATTTACATACTAGGAATATTGATAATGTAAACTGTATTTTATGTGTGTGTGTTATGAAAACTTTCAGATCAACCCATTTCTGCATGCTGTACAAAACTGAGGCGACGGTTGTCTCTGGACTCGACTCGTGATCTGTCAGACTCATCAGACGATTATAGTTGCCATGAACAGCACAGTAAGCTTCGAAGTCCCAGGAATATTGAACAGGTACCTAACCTGTTTGTTTATATTCTTTATTATCATTAGAACTTTTCATTACTCCTAGTGCCAGGCTAACATGTTTTTTGATCAGAAATGTTAAGGAATGAAATGGATTACCTGTCACAGGTCCATACTACTGTCACTAGTCTGTAGTCATGTGTGATAACCTATAGTGTAATCAGTTCTGGCATTTTGTTCCAGGTCGTAATGTATTGTTGACAGCTAGAATACAATTGTGCTATTAAATTCACAGTACAGATATTTAGTGCCTATTTCTTAACTGCAGACATATTCAAAAGGAACATAAGAGATAGGGAACTGAATATAAAGGAAAGCATTCTTTGTTTACAGTATGAGCAAGAGATCGAAAGGTTGCAAAAGAATGTAGAGCATTTGAAATTGAAGTTGGAACAGGCAGAACAGCAACGAGACCATGAACAGCAAGGCTCAGGCTTGGACTCACCAGATATTGACTCAAGCGAGCAGGATTCAACCCATGATCTGAGGGACCCACCAACCCCAGGCCAAGCAGACACAAACATGAAGAACATCATTGCTAGGTTAGTAGCAGCACTGCCACAACTGCCTTGTAGCCTAATTTTTGTTCCATGCTTATCCCATCCATCCTGAGCCTGTGTCCTTTCCTCACACCTGTCATCCTTGCTTGATGTACTATCTCTCCCCTACTCTCTTTTCTCCATCCTAACCCAAATTGCTACTTCCTCCTAACCTCTTCATCTTTTTCTCAATCTTTCTACCTTCCCTGTCCGCATTTCCCTGTTCCTTTACCATACCCTCCATCTCACTGCTTTTGTAGCCCCATTTCTGCCTCTCCCATTCTGACTTCCTCATCTCCAACTGTACTCCTTTCCTCCCCTGCTCTGTTCTGTCATCTCAATAACACCCTCCCTCTGCATAGGCCATCAGCTGCTTCTTCCAAACTCATTCCTCCCCCCCCCCATGCCCCACATATGCTGGATCCTCTCATTCTCTTGATGTCAGGCCAAGAACCATCTCCCCTGGCACCAATCCCATCCCCTATTTCCGTCATAACATTCTACTTTTCCACATGTTCTCTCCTGTCCCTGGTCACATCCTCTTCCTATCTTCTCTCCTTGGGATACTGTCTGTTTCTTGTGCCTCCTTTCAAGGCCTCATGTTTGTGTGCTACTCAGATGAACCTCTTCCTCCCATTAGCCATCTTCCATCTTCCCTTCTTCCACCTTGTCTACCACTTACCACACAGAAGGGTAATTCAGACAAACAGCTAGTTTTGCACTTCTTACACACTCAGTGAGTGCTCCAGTTACCAACATGTTTGTTCTAATGGCACTTAGTGAGGTGTATTAGGTGGGTGATTGTAATTCTAATTAATGTTATTTCATGGTTTAAAATAACTCACTTCTTCATGGACTGACTCTTAGGTTGATCTCTGTCGAGGAAGAGCTTCGCCGTGAACAGCAAAAGATGTCTGATGCACTGTCGCACAAGCAGAGGGTCATTGAGGCCCAAGAACATAAGATTGCTGCGTTAGATGCTGCAAACAATCGTTTGCTCTCAGCTCTGACCACTCTGAAGGATCGATATGCACTCCAGCAACAAGGGAAGAATGGAGCCCAGCGTCTGTTGGCAGAACTGAGTGAACTAAAGAGTTCATCATGCTGAGGTGCCCAGTGTACAATTCTGCAACTCAGGTCTCTGTGGGGAAGAGGGGATCTAGTTAAATGTACCTGGTACTTTATACCTTACTGATGGTCATGTAGAGCTGATATGGGAGATCAGCAGATGCATAAAGAGGGTTGAGCAGCTTTCTTTATGACTGTTGAGTGCAATAAAAAGTTTTCTGTCTATTTTCAAGAGTTTGATTAATGTTCACATCAGAAACTTTGGTGAGAATCCATATGAGATTTTTCATTGAATAATTACCAATATCCCAGTACATTTCTGAAGCTGTAATTCTTCAGATAAATGTGCTGAAATAATGTAATACCTTTCTGATGAATAACCATATGAATTCACCATTATTATTCCTTTCCCACACAGAAGTCATCAGTGCGCCCGCTGATGCTACAATAATCAATACCAGGTGCAGAGCTTTAGTAAAATGTCAGAACTGTACATCTATCTTCTGTTGACATGGTGAATTTTCAGTTACACATCTCGTGATATGGTTTAAGGTATCGGGTATTTTAAAATCTGATACAAGTATTATAAATGAGATTTGCATCATTCAGCAGCTGATAATTATCAGAATTGTAACTGGGTACAGTATTTTCTTTAACTTGAGTCTTGTTATCGTGTACTTGATTGTGAATTGAGAGTTTTGGTTAGTGAAATGTGATTGTGTAACATATTCAGCTGTAGGACATACATAAATTAGCCAGTTGATTGTACCTGTTCTTCAACAGCTGTTACGGAGCTCCACCTCTTGTTTTAAAGTATGAAGGGAAGTCGTGAAACTTAAAGAAGACAGTATTTTACCTATCTGCTGTGCAGAAGTAGTTTGTGCTCACTGCCTAGATAGTCTTATCGCATCACTTTATCGTCTTACTGAATGTTATCACAAAAATGCACAAATTCATTATACTGTGTACATTAATCACTGAATTTGGACGCCTTGGCAATGCACATGTAAATTTGCCTTGATATAATGGTGGTCAGAGATTTAAACATCATTTGATGGTGGACCATTTACATGGTTCATGCATAAACCTCTCTATCTTTGTATTAGGAATGCTTGTGATGATAATTAAATGTGTATTAACAATACATGGCACATATTTTCTCCTCTGGTTGCAATAATTCAGTAATAAATTAGTATGATATGGCAGTCCAAATCTTGTAACTATTGTTTGCATACATGAAAGGAAATATATCCACCTTCAGCATTCCATAGTCAGGATACAGTTTCACTTGTTTGAATGTTAATTGTGGATATCTGTGGTAACATTTTCGGTATATTTATCAAGTCTTTGCTCTGTAGCTGTTTGGTCACTTTGAATCTGATGTTGTACGTGTTTCATTATGCACACTGTTTTGTATTCACTCTGCATTTCTTTGCATGTATTTGTTTAGAGATATGATGAAAGTGGTTTGTGGCCAATGGTATTATTATTGCAGTCAAGACAAACTGTGTAGTAAAGAAGCAGCCACTGCTTTAGTATTATTCAGCGTGTATTAGTAGATTTCCCATTACCAAAGATTAGTTGCTTGGCATCAGAAATGCCAAGTTGTTTATGTATATGTTTGGCAAACAATTTGGACTGTGTAGGATTTGAGGTTCTCACAGTGGTGATTATGAAGAGCACTGTCTTCTGGAATGTAACACCACGTAGTATGTTGAAAGTCAGCAGATGTTTCTGAGGAACATATCGCCTCCTTCTTCAGGGTCAAAGAATAAGTCGAGCAAGAAAGCAGCACTCTGCTTGCCACCTGCTTTCACTCTGGTTTCTTGCTTACCTGATTCTTCAACCCTGAAGATGAAGGTGATGTTTTCCTCTGAAACATCAGTTGACTTTCAGCAGACTTCATGGCATCATATCCCAGAAGATGGTACACTTCATTTTAGGCTTGTCTGTGAAGTATGGCAAATTGATGGTACTGCAACAGCACATGTACATACAAGCCATGTAAGTACAGGCTGATATAAGGATAATTTATGTTTATAACTTCGTTAAAGTGTTTTGTTTCTTAAAAAGGTGATTTAATTCTTATCTATAAATGCAAACATTATATGTTTTAGATAATATTTTGTGTTAATTTTTTTTAAGACAACCTACAACAAACTTGCCAGGGTTGAGATGAAGTATTTTATGTAGTGCTTCTTACTGTAAATTGTATTTGTTTTTACGTGTGGTACATAAATAATGATATCCATCCACCCTTTCTTTTTGTAAATGTAAATTTGAATGTAGATTATATAAAATGTACACAGTATTTATCATATTACACAAGTAATTTAAACAGATTACTTTTATTATTGTGAATCATCATCACCTTTCAATATTTGTTGTTTTCAGAACAGGAAAAGTTACTTCTTAATTATGAATTTTCAACAAACCAGACTCGGAAGAGAAGCATGAATTGTGACTGTTTGTCTACAAGTAGAAATCTCGTGAAACCCATGAATTTGATCTCAGGGTAAATAATGGAACTACAGAATATATTGGATGTTGGATTTGGGGTTCTTATGGAATACGGTCTCTAGTGTAACATCATGCAGTTTGGAGAGAGCCCAAGGTTTCAGAGGAGCATATCACTTCCATCTTCAGTGTAGAAGAATAAGCCAAACTAGCAAATTACTGAAGAACAAAAGAATCATACTGAAACCTTAATGTAATATGTACCACAGCAAAAAGCACTAACCTAACTATGTCTAAAGCAAGTGGTCAGTTTCCTGTCATAAAATCATACACAGTTTGTTATAATTCCAGAAAAATCACCTATATCACAAAATTATCCTTGGTCTCGAACCTTCGAACATCTCTTCACTACGCTGGTGTCTTACCCTTAGACCACCCATACCACAAAGAGTCCTTCTCTTTGATCTTCCTCTTATGTTACATCTTTTGTTATAATTACAGAAAAATCTTATTAACTCCACTTGTACTTTATAAATCTTTCGTTGGTTCCGAAGTTTGGAACTTCTCCACACTAAGCTAATGTCCTACCCATAGACCACCAACACCACAAAATGTTGCTTTCTTCAATCTTCCTCTTATGTTATACCTCAAGCCGTAATCCCAGGGAAAAATCTTATTAATTCATTTCTGTTGTACAAAACTTTCCAGATGTTTCTGATCTACTGCCCTAAGTGTCCATGTTTCAGCCCCATACAGAGCTATGCTCCAAATGTAGCATTTCACTAGCTTCTTCCTCAAATTTAAGTCCAATTTGCTGGTAAAAAGATTCTTCTTCTTGCTAAATGCAGCTTTTGCCATGGCAATCCTGGATTTAATTTCACAAGTACACCTTCCATCATCTGTTAACAAGCTACCCAAATATTTAAAACATTTCACATTCTCCAGTTGTTTTTGGTCTATCTTTATTGTGACTGGGGTTGGTTGTCTCGAAATTTTCATTACTTTTGTTTTCTCCACATTCATTTCCATGCCATAGCACCTTCCAATTTCAATTAGTCTATCAATCATGCCCTGTAGCACAGTTTCTTCCTTAGCCATTAACACCAGGTCATCTGCATATTTCACAGTTTGAATAATTTGCCCTCCTACTTTGAAGTCACCGAGCCCATCCAGAGCTTCCTTGGTAAGGAAGTCAGTGAGTCAGTGAGCAGAGGAATATACTACATGAAATAAGAAAACGGANCCCATACCACAAAGAGTCCTTCTCTTTGATCTTCCTCTTATGTTACATCTTTTGTTATAATTACAGAAAAATCTTATTAACTCCACTTGTACTTTATAAATCTTTCGTTGGTTCCGAAGTTTGGAACTTCTCCACACTAAGCTAATGTCCTACCCATAGACCACCAACACCACAAAATGTTGCTTTCTTCAATCTTCCTCTTATGTTATACCTAAAGCCGTAATCCCAGAAAAAAATCTTATTAATTCATTTCTGTTGTACAAAACTTTGATTGGTCCCGAACCGAACTTTTCCTCAATAAGCCACCAATGCTACGGAAATTTTTTACCCTTATTCTTCCTCTTATGTTACATGTCTGTATATAATTCCAGAAAAAATCATTACAAAAATCCTGGTGGTTATGAACCACTGACATTTGCCCTACCACGTCTGTGCCTTTCCTCTAGACCACCATAACATCTATTACACTTACTTCTGCGATCCTCCTCATATTCTACGACTTTATTTATAGCTGCAGAAAAATCATATTCATGTATTCACTTTTCAATTTCTATTGAACTGGGTAGGGGGGAGAACTCAAAATAGTTGCTATGTTAGCATACCTTCTTACCGATTGTGCTCTCAGCCCTGTCGGCCATTTTAAATTTAGTTAAAGTTGGATGCGTAGAGATGGCAGCATCATTGCACCATGGGGACATGGCGGCCATGTTGCCCACCAATAACATGGGTTCTTTCACGGGGCTGGTCCCAGGAAGAGGGTGATTGCGGTTTGTTGCGTGTGGATGTTTTGCTTTCCTGCCTGCCAGTTCTATATGTTGCATTCCGATTTATTTCGATGAGGTAGTTCAGTGTCCAATATTGTAAGCTGCATTTGCTAGTTAATTTTCAAGTGTACATGATTTTATATCTCCTAATTCACCCTCAAAGCATATGCAAACAAATTTTAACCTGCTAGCTTGCTGTTAGAAGATTTCAGTTTTACGATTTACGATTATTACAATTTTTATGAAACATTTTTTCTGATGTCATCGGCCCTTGGTAGAATTTATCATTATACTATCAACTTAAATTGAATATTATAAACCAACTAATCTTAATCATTAATATTTGCGACATATATAAATTAATATGAAGCTATTTTCAGTTTGAACATTTCAGTGTATTCGTTGCTAGGTAACTGCTACATCTGCAACATATGTTCTGGAATAATAATAGAAGCAAAATTTCTTGTCACGTTGAATTATAATACGCAGAGACAAACACATTTCTTTCCGATACTTAAAAATGTATGTTTGGACAAAAACAGGTCAAATCTCGCTCCTCGCTCATGTTGTCTTGTTTTCGGTAGATATCTTGTTCGAATCCCGTTTAGGAACTTAATATCGTTATGCATGTGTCTTATGGCTGATATCCTATTGAATAATGTCGTTAAATTATGTAAGGCCGAATTTACATTTTTGTTGTTTCCTTTAGGCTCATGCCTTGCAATAGACCATTGGGAAGACCAAGGTGTAGGTGGGTGGACAGTATTAAAATGGATCTTAGAGATATGGGATGGTATGGATTGGATTGATTTGGCTCAGGATAGGGACCAGTGGAGGGCTCTTGTGAACACAGTAAAGAACCTTCGGGTTCAATAAAATGCCGGAAAATTTTTGAGTAGCTGCAGATTTGGCTTCTCAAGAAAGGCTCAGCTCCGTAAGTAAGTAAATGCCTTGCAATGGATTAAGATAGCTTCCCTCTAAATTCCTCCCTCCTTTCCAACATTACATGAACTTGTAATTTATGAAACGTTATTACATAACCTAAGAATATAACTCCTCCAATTCTATAACTTGTTGATGGTTATTTTATGAAACGTTAGTGATATTGGTAAAATCTTTTAGCAATTATTTTTACCTTAAGCTGGTATGTGAGGGATATCATTATAATTTTCACATGTACATTCTTGCCAATATCAGCTAAATATCCTCAGGAAGAGCTGATAAGGAACTTGAGGCGTGAGAAGCGTAAAGGGAAACATGCCTACACGATACAGACCTGCCCCACAATACAGGGTTACTACAAATGATTCATTCCATTTCAAAACATTATATTTTCCAAAGTATTATATATAAGAACATGATTGGTACATGAAAAGAACCGCAAACTCACCAAGTTTGCATCGTGATACACCAGTTGGCAGCATGAGTGCAGTGCCTCACAAAATGGCGACGAAGCTGGGAAAGAGTTTCTGTGTGTTGGAATATGCGAGATGTTCGTCTGTTATTGCAGTGCAGCGTGCATTCACAACAGAGCACAGAAAAGAACCACCATGTAAACAGAGCATTCTGCGGTGGTATCGGCAGTTTAAGGATACTGGTTGTCTGTGTAAACGGAAAAGCACGGGGCGACCAATATAGTGTTTTGAAATGGAATGAATCATTTGTAGTAATCCTGTTTAGAAAGAACTCTTAGTGTCACTTAATGTTGGACGTTATTTGTGCTGTAATAACATGAGAGTTGACGTTATGACGTGCTGGCAGTTGCCCACCCATTGTGCTTCGTGTCAGAATACTAGGTAAGAGCATGCAAGATTGATGATTGGACAGGTTAGTTTAGTGGCAAATCTGTAGTCTTGTATTCGTGAGATGTGTGGTTCGAATCTTGGCTGGAAAATCGCATATCCTGGTTGACGTTTTTCGTGGTTTTTCGCAGTCAATCTAAGATAATTTCGGGTACAGTATATCAAGTCACTACCGCTTCCTGTCAATTCATCTTTCAAGACCCTCCCTATGATGAGACGTTATGTATTCTAAATATAAGATGAGCCGCACACACAAGATTAATGGAAGTAGAGGGAAGTATATCTTTGCATGTGGAATGATGAATGCCACGGTTACCAGTACTTAAAATTCATGACGGCAATGCAATACGTTATTACCATTTCACGTGTTTCAGTTGCACAGTGAAATGTTCCTGAACTTTCAAGCTTCCCTCAATATTTTTGTGGTCTTTCTCAGTTCTCCCATGTGAAAGCCGGAGAGCCGGCGTAGCGTAGTCGATATAGCGACTGGTAGGGTAAAGAATTTTCTCCAGAGCGTCCAGACCGGCTCGGTGGTCCACCCAACCTCCTATCCAATGGGTACAGGGGGGGGGTCTTTCCCCGGGGCGTGAAGCTGACCACTCACCTCCAACAAGTGCCGAGGTCAAGAGAATGTGGATCTATACATCCACTCCCTCGTACGCCTTCATGGAGTACTGCTTAATTCGTTGAGCACAGGGACAACTTTACTTTTTTTTTTTTTTTGCCCATGCGAATCCCAGCATACCACCATGAAATGGTCACCGCGTCTGCCTTCCTCCCCCCCTTCTCGTCATTCGACGTATGAAACTGAGCTTATATCGTCCTCGTGCTCCTTCTGAGTTAGTCCTGCTCAGCCTGTTACTGGCGCCACGAGCAGAATATTCGGATTCTGCGTCTATATTTTGAAGCCTCATACGAGATCCTTTACAATTCAGTTTTCCAGCTTGTACCTTCTGGCCTCTTTTGCGGTTNTCATGACACGCTTTTCAGGTAATAGCAGTTTTCTGTTGTAAGTCCCTCTAGTGTTAATGCTTTGATGCGTTACGTCCAGTAACTCATAATTCGCACACTTCATATTAGTGATGATATCTTCATAATTCGGGTTTGATTCAACTGATTATTTATTGTGTTAAGATCATGCAAAATTTATCTTGGGCAAATTCATTATAACACACAGTTTGCTTCTTACTGGCTTTTTACGGTTAATAATCAGAACGATCTTGTTTGATGAAATAATTGATGCTTCTTGTCCTCACTGTATATTGCCTAATTAATTAAGCACAGGGACAATTTTACCTTATATTGTCGGCAAAGACTGATACCTGCTGTTAAGTAGGTTGTTATATTTAAAAATATTTTACGAGAAAATTTGTTTAGGTCTTAAACTCAGTCGACAGGCTGTTGGCAGCAGTTCCTCATAAGTGTTTTTTTTTTAAATAAAATTTCACAGTATTATAAAGTTTTCATGAGAACATGTCATTCAGAGCGCCATTCGTTAAGTTGTACCGGCAAGTTATCCACAAAGAGGGCCTACAGTATTTAGGTTATCTATATACTAAAAATATTGTAACATCAATCTTGGCCGCGCCATAGCTCAAGCGGTTACTCGCTGGCTTCCCACTGCGGCGGCCCGGGTTTGATCTCGGGTCTGGTCAAGTGGGATTTGTGATGGAAAACGTGGCGCTGGGGCAGGGTTTCTCCGAGTACTTCGGTTTCCCCTGCCAATCTTCATTCCACCAATTGCTCCACAATCACCCTCACCTATCATCTGGGGCTGGTACAATAGGCCAGAAGTGGGCGCAGTACAAGGGACTTGGTCCCACCCCACTAGCAATAAAAAAATATCAGTCTTTATATAGGAATGATTCATGTTGGAAGTGACTTGAATACGGTCTAAATGTACCGCTATCAGAATCAATAGAACGTGACCAGTTTCGAAAAACATCTGCATGGCGGGCAATCATGTTGATTAATTTCGTATGACTTTAAAATATCGGGCGTCTGTATTTGCGGGAATGTTTGAGCGGTGAATAAGAATTCTCGTATAAAGTATTTTTCAAAATATATTTACTTTATGACTAAGAATTGTGTTTGTGAAAAACGTAGACAGTGTTCCTGAAGTTACAATGAGAATATTATTATTATTAAGATACAGATATATTTAATAACATCGAAACAAATTACAATACAACGAATTTCTGAAAAAGCAACCATGTTTGAATTCTGTGAATATAATACCCAACTTTTCAAATTTACGGCACGATACATGTGTTGTAGTGACCGTTAGACACGCAATATATAAGAACCGGACGAAATGATAATGCCACCGATTTTGAAAGGACAATTTTCTTACGATGGGAGTTATTCGATAAACCTTCTTGAACAAAATCTTCCAAGCATGGCCTTATGTTTCGATGTGAAATCAAAGTATCATAAGTGTCTGTAACGATCCCTAAGTGCCTGTGACAGTGTTGCAAGTGATAAGTGCAGTGATTATGTCAAGAGGTGCAACAATCTAGCGATCACAGCATCCATCGAACCTGGGGTCAAACCGTCACGTTGAAACCATAACAATGGCGGCCGAGCCTTTATGAATTGAGGACCAATTCGCAGGAGGTTGGACTGGCTACTTGCAGCAAATCAGGTACGCCATAGCATCGGCATCTTCTCATGTAAGTCCGGCCCCAGGCTGATCAATATTCCTAGAATTCGACGTTTCCCGTTCGTAGGAAAAACACTCCTTAAATGGCAGAAATTTAAATGTAGAATTTTCGATGTGATTTTATGGCATAAGCATCAGGGTGAGATGGAAACGCTTAGGAGTAACATAAATTTGCAAGTTATACCTAAGCAGTTATCATAACAATCACAAATCTCATCCCTTACGCTGCGCTTTCAGCACAAGAAGAAAACGACTTTTTTTTTCAGGTTAACACTTAAACGAAACTGGATATGAAAATGATAAAAGTTTGACTTCGTTTAGTTTTCAACCTTAATAGTCGATGGTCTACAAACGTGATTCAGATTTCATTGCGTTACTGTCTCTTGACATACATTGCAACCGCAGCGAATGAAGTAGAGACAGAACTTGTATTGTCGGTACACCGACGGGCTATGGGCTGGGAGGCCGGGATCGATTCTCATTGGAGACAAAAGAAAATCTCCACAGCATCCAGACAGTTCTGAGGCCCGCCCAGGCTCCTATCCAATGGGTACGGGGATAATGCGGCCGGGACGTGAAGCTAACAACTCACTTCAATCTATTTCCGACGTCAAGCATGGTGGAGCTATACCTCCACTTCCTCATAAGTCTTCATGGAATACTACTTAATTAATTAAGCACAAGCATAGCTTTACATTTACCCTTGGCACTACAGCCCCAGTGGGCCTAGGCCTACCTCCATGAACTTCTTACTTTACATTTACCTTCACTATTATAGAGCATCTGAAGGCTATGGAGCGAACCTATGAATTTTCAAATACAGTTTATAACCCAGAGATTTCAATATTGAAATTAAGCGACAATCACCATGTTTAGGACAGCGCTGGGAGCCACTTGGCCTCCTCTCAAGGTGGGTTGGGACTTCTATCCTGGGCGTAAATTTTTCCAGAACGTGAAATTGACCACTCAGTTTCATCTAGTGCTGAGTATTCATTACCGCTCTATTCAGTATGCAGTATACGTATATCCTCACAGCAGGGCTCTAGGCACAAAAATATTAAAATAATTTAATAAAAATGTCATTTATTTAAAGTCATATTGTTTACAACATATTTATGTGAAAAAGTTTCCTGCCAGGCAAGATGTCTCCCTTCTGATGACACATCAATGTGGGCAGCTGATGGTGATGAACTTGCAACATGAAACAATTAAGTTATTTTATAAATCCACCTTATCTGAGAGGAAGGGAAGGGAAACTGTACACAGCACAAAGGGGACCACCAGACAGTTGCAAGAATTCTGTATCCAATTCCTCTTCTTCACTCAGATTAGTTATTTTAATACCACGATATGAGTATGTTAATTTAAATAAAAATGATATTAATGGTGGAATTGGAAGCGAATTAAATTTGAGAATGCTTGCTATTATTCAGTTCAGAACTTATCATTCCATGTTCTATGTAAAACCTAAGATTAAAAGACATGCAACTCTAATTCTACTTACACTAAATGGGAGTGAACGTGGCCTTCAATATAAAGGCAGATAATAAACTGAGGGACTTTGTTAACAGGGTGTTGAGAATATTTGGACCTAAGAGAGAGGAAATGACAGGAGTGTGGATAAAATATGCAATGAGGATCTGTATTGAAGAAAGCAGACTGCTTTTATCGGTTCTCACGGTCTCTTAGCTTGCAGATTTCTTATATTTTTTCTTCTACCCTGAATATGGAGGCGATACGTTCCTCCGAAACGTCGGTTAACACCACATATACACGGTGCCAAATCCCAGAAGACTGCTTTCTTCATAGTCAACGCCGTGAAAGCCTCAAATTTTACACAGGATCTGTATTATTTACATAACATTGTCAGGGTGATTAAATTGAGGGCACAGATTTCCTCCAGGGCAGGGAACAATCATAAAATTTGTTTATGACTACATTTACTGATTGCCCTAGAATATCCAGGACAGAATATTTTGATATATTTTCTTCTCTTTTTTACTTTCATTTTTCTTTCAACCCCTCCTAAATCCAGTGCAGATGACTGATTTATCTCACTCCCTGGCTGCAACTCACGCCCCAGTGTGATTAAATCTGAAGCGAAAATATGTGAGCCTAATATAGATTAAATAAGGCAAAGAACTGAAGAGAAATTCACAATGAGAGTTCGATGACGATCTGTAATTTTGTCATGGTATTATGGTAGTTAAGTGGATCTGGAACGGGGTCCACTCAGCCTCGTGAGGATAACTGAGGAGCTATTTCAAGGATATAACGGCTCCGGTCTAGAAAACCGAGATTAACGGCCGTGGGGATCCGTTGCGCTGACCACGCGACACCCTCTATCCGCAAAAGTTGGCACTAACTTCGCCGACAAGCAGCGGTCGCTCGGCCGGTATAGTTCGCTTGCGGACTAATGCCACGGAGTTTGTAGCAAACACGAAACCAAAGCAGTGGGTACACTCAGGATTATCAGTGAGATGGTTAATGTGCTGTCAGAGAAGCGAAGTTACCTCCTGCTTAGCACTGGCTGATGGCGCCGTGCGATCGACGGCGTTCCATTTCCTGCGTTAGGACCCGTGACATCTCTGGCTGCGAGCGCCGCCTGTAATCCTGCTGTGCCAAGTCCAGAGGGGTGAGACTCATCTTCGTGCGCGCCGTGAGATCGCATGCCTCTGCTTGCAGCAACATCTGCACTAACACATGTATAATGTCAGCTACAGCACATCAAAGTGGTGAGGGCCAACAAGACTCCTCTTGACAACAACCTGTCTTAAGTACGGCTGACGTAATTATAATGACTAAGCTACGGGATGGGTGACTTAGGAATCGGTGTTCGATTCCCGGCAGGGACAGATTTCTTTTCCATAGCGTTAGCTTCATAACTTGTACTCTTCTCTAAGTATAATTAGAACGATCAAGTGAAGGAGGATGAGATGGGCAGGGCATGTAGTACGAATGGGGGAGAATAGGAATGCATATAGGATATTGGTGGGAAAGCCAGAAAGAAAGAGACCACTGGGAAGACCAAGGTGTAGGTGGGTGGACAATATTAGAATGGATTTTAGATATATAGGATTGGATTGATCTGGCTCAGGATAGGGACTAGTGGAGGGCTCTTGTGAACACGGTAATGAACTTTCGGGTTCGATAAAATGTTGGGAAGTTCTTCAGTAGCTGCAGAATTTGCGGCTCCTCCAGAAGGGCTCAGCTCCATGAGTAAGTAAGTAAGTGTCCTGGTCTCTTCTGAGACCCAACGAACTTCTGTTCAATGGACATTGACAATTTCCCTGGGGGTAAGGCAGTCAGAGGCATGAAGCTGACCACTCATCATCGTCTAGTACCGAGGTTAACGCTTGACGCTATACTGCCCCATACGTCTTTGTTTGGTACTTAAGTACAGGGACAACTTTATCTTACCTTTATTGGTTTATTATTCTTCTAAATATTGCTTCTTTTCTTTAGTTTATAAACTCGATTTCAAGCAATTCTATGGAGAAAATTCCTTTTTGGGAAGCTAATATTCGCTGTGCTAGACCACTCTGACCACTAGACCACTGAGGCGGTTCGAATGGAGAAAAATTTCCTTCATTTTCATCAGTTTTAGTGGTCTGCTGGCGCATGACTACACAGACCAGAGCAATCCCACCGTACCGAGGGTCCCGAGCCACACGAATGCAGTGAATATTCTGGTGCACTATTTCTTTAAGATTTGTCAATTTCAAGCCATTAAAATTATAATCTCAGAATGAAACAACAGCTTGAAATATTGTATACATTTTGCATATTCATTTATTGTTAATTATTGGAATTCTGAACTTTCTAATTTGGAACATGGCTTAGCTTCTGGATGTCCGTAGTTAGTTAAGTATGTTGCTTGAGTGAATAAGGCCCCCAAAACTGTCCATTTGTTAAGTATGACTTCAACCTACCACGTATGTGTTTATGTAAATTTGCTGATGATATTTTTATCGCAGAATTTGGTTGTATAAACTGATTTACTGCTTAAAGTATTAAATTTACACTTGGCAAGTGAACTGTTGCATTTTTTAAAATAAATTTTTAATAAACAAACCATCAACTCTTGGTCGGAGATACAGACCTAAATGTTCAAAACTGAAGGCTACTTGGCCATGACCAAGAAATCCGAAAATTTTGTAGGGTGATTCTAAATTATTGTCGGGGTTTCCGTTTGTAATCCACGGACACCCCGACAATAATTTAGAATCACGGTGTATATCCTGTTAAGAATTACAACCGGTTATGTAGGAAATATCGCGATTCTGAGCAGCACAGTGCGAGTCTATGTGTCAAGTTTCTTATGCAGTACCATATACAGTCACTGTGACGTATTAGCTGTAGAACCAAACCACACCATTAGAGCGATTACCGCTTCCTGTTGAGAAACAGGGCCGTCGGACGTTGAGTTTCCTGTATCCAGGAAGCAACGCCTTGTTTCTTACAACAGGCTTACAGTTGGGTGTTCTACACTTGACAGCTTGGTGTGCGCATAAGGGGAAGCACGGCAAGAGGGTGTGGGTAATACAATGGGAGCTGTGTTACGTCTGAACACTATACTGATAATCAGGGCCCGGATTTTGATGACCTGAAAATGGTTAAAAAATGACCTATAAAATGACCGAAAAAATCCAGAAAAATGACCTAAAATATGACCAAAAAATGTAATATGCAGGGCCCGGAGTTTGATGACCTGTAAATATTAAAAAAATGACCTATAAAATGATCGAGAAAATCCAGAAAAATGACCTAAAGGAAAAAAGAAAGAACACTTCGCTTCCATGTTATTCACATTTCAGAAAACATATGAAGAAAAATTCCCTAAAATACCCAAAAATGACAAGATATACCCTTAATCGTCCAAAAATTTACCAAAAAAATTACCCCCAAAATGGAAAAAATGACCTTAAACCTAAAATGTAAAAAAAAATGACAAAAAATTACCTATAAAATTTACATTTCTGTAACCAGCAGCTCATATCCAAGATTTATATATTTAAGAGCATCGCATAGGATACAAGGAAAAATAGACGACACGTCATCAAAATCCGGGCCCTGCTGATAATCAAACGGTCCCTCCTGTTCAGAATTGACTAAGTCACTCGCCTCCTTGTCCACTTTGATATTATACTGAGGCACTATGTTATAAGTCGGAAGGTCGCGGGTTCAACTCCCGATGTCACTGGATTTTTCAATTGGCCTAATCCTTCCAGCCGCACTATGACCATGGGGTCGACTGGGCCTCTATCACAGATGAGTACCAGGAATCTTTCTGGGGGGTAAAGGGCGGCCGGCGCGTAAGGCTGACAAACTCATCGCCATCTGTGGGCCAGTTGTCAAGAAAATGTGGGAGCTTCGACGTCTTACAACAACAGCGCACACAGACATCTATATCATCAGTGGGACTCGAACGCACGATCCCAGCGAAGAATGTTCATGCCTTAGGTCTCGTGGCGGCCAGTTTACTTACCTGCACAACCTTAATGAAGCCGCTTTCGACGGCGATGTGTAAGGGAGTGAGCCCCTCCTTGTTGGGGGCGTTGAGTTCTATGTTGGGGCGCGCCAGCAGGAGGCAGACCACCTCGTGGTAACCCTTGCCCGCCGCCAGGTGCAGGGCCGTGTTCCCACGAAGATCCTGAGCGTTCGGAGGGGCGGCGTTATTGAGTAGCATCGCGACGGTTGAAGGGCGGTTCTTGCGGGCTGCGAGGTGCAGGGGCGTTTCGCGGTATGCCGTGCAGCGTGATAAGTCAGTGCCGGCGCTTGCCAGGAGCGTCACAGCGTCGAAACTTCCCGGCGCGTCCCGTTCTAGAGCCTCGTGCAGAGCTGTCTCACCGCGGTCGTTCTGTAAACTGGGGTCCGCACCACAGTCCAACAAGACCTGCCAACAAAAAATGTTCTGCGTATTCTCACCGTGTGTTTCATTAGGGATAAAACTAAATTGTCCTTTGACTGTACGATCCTCCAAGAATCTTGACCTCCTTAGGCCGCGCCATAGCTGAAGTGGTTAGTCGCTGGCTTCCCACCGCGGCGGCCCGGGTTCGATCCCGGGTCTGGTCAAGTGGGATTTGTGGTGGACAAAGTGGCGCTGGGGCAGGTTTTCTCTTAGTACTTCCGTTTCCCCTGCCAATCTTCATTCCTCCAAATTCTCCAACATCATAATCACCCGGGGCAGGCTACAATAGGCCACTCAGTGGCCACCGTGCCGAGTGGACCCAGTTGGACTCCACGCGCCACTAAGCGAATTTAATTTAATTTAATCCTGAACTCCTTTGCAATATATGCCCATTCCCTTTGAATTCAGCTTTTGTCCACTCGGAATTTTTATTACGTATTTCAACATGCATAGTTTTCCGAATTCGATTCCCGATGAGGTCATTGAATTTTTTCAATTGACCTAATCCTTCCAGCCGCACTATGGCCCTGCGGTCGACTCAGCCTCTAACAGAAATGAGTACCAGGAATCTTACTGGGGGTAAAGGGCCGCCGGAGCATAAGGCTGACAACCTCACCTCCATCTCTGAGTCGATTGTCTAGAAGGTGTGGGAGCCTCACAACCCTGCGGGCCTCCACGGTCTGTTACAAGGATAGCTTTACCTTTACAGTTTACTGAAATGATGTTATTCCCACGCCAAACTCTAACCTGGATGACTAATGGTTACCTTTCTTCTGGGCTTACCCTTCGACCTGTCCAGCAGGGAAGAAGGTAACAGGATATACGCCCCCGCTAACATGGCCCTACAGGTGATCAAAACCCATAAATTTTCCCATCACGTTAAGGTATTACACCAGAGGGGCGGTGAGTAAAATTAGCTGTTATAATTATACCCAGTGCTTTCCTCTCACACCGGGGGGGGGGGGGAGGTGTGAGCACGAAAACCAGGGTCGGACGTACACACGACNGGGGGGGGGGAACGTTTCGTACACAAAACAGGGTCTGAAGTACAGGGACACCAAACGTTGAAGAAAGTACTGGGTTCAAGACTATACTTGATTCATTTAAAGACGCCTTTTAACTACCTCGTCGAATAGTAGCATTATGAGTGATACATTGGAAAAGGCATGGAGAGAAACGGTCATGGCCTATTTTAAGGCTTTAGTTCCGGAATTTGCCTGGAGGCACTGAGAGGATTCACGAGAAACATGTCAGGGTAGGCTTTCTCCCGCCGAGATTTGAACACGGGATCTGTGGAATATGCATCAGTAATGTCGAACATTGAGCCGGTCACGGTAGCCGAGCGGTCTAAGGCATGTACTGTCTTCGTTCGCTTGGAAACCGGATCGTGGGTTCGAATCCCACTCAGGGCATGGATGTTTAGTTTGTGTGTGTGCGTTTTTCTGTGTTTGTATACAGGTAGAGGCGTTGCGACGAGCTGATCACGCGCCCAAGGACTCCTACCGAATGTGTAAGATCTAGAAAAACCGAAGTGAACGGAGAAGTTCACGGAGGTAGGCCTAGGCCCACTGGGGCTGTAGTGCCAAGGAAAAGGAAAAGTCAAACATTAATCTCGGCTTTCCGTTGTGGTCTGAAGAGAAGCAAGAGAATATAAAGTTGCGTAATATCGGTTGATTCATATTTACTTGACTCTACAAAAACTAATTCTTGCGTAAATGAACACGTAATTAAGCTAGACTGGACTAGATTCTGACAGGTGCTACAACACGCTAAAACGAATATCGGTGAGCCGTGACGCCGTGCAGTTCCGTGGACTTTGCGGGGGAACATATCACATTCATATACACAGTCGCAAAAAATGCCGAACGGAATCCAGCAGTTTGTCGCCTTCTTAATTTCCTTACCTTTCAACTCTGAAGACGGAGGAGATGAGTTATCCTGAATCACTGGGGGGGGGGGCTTCTGCCAGAATGTACGGCGTTACAACCCACAAGCTCGTACTCCTCACAGTCATCGTTGTGAGAATCTCAAACATACCACTGAGAATGCTAATAAGCAGACAAAAAATAAACTCTGTGGCTTTAGTCCGCAAGAAAACTATACCGTCCGAGCGACCGCCGCTTGTCGGCGAAGTTAGTGCCAACTTTAGCGGATAGAGCGTGTCGCAACGAATCCTCACGGACGTTAATTTTCGGTTTTCTATACCGGACTGAGAATTCTTATAACTTTTAATTTACTTATCCGGTTTTAAATTTGCTTTGGTTATGATGTACGTAGGAGTAACATCACAGGGAGACATGTAAACCGTAAAGTTGTGTCCGTGCCATGCGGACATGCGGGGGAGTGAAGGCATAGCTCCACAATTCTTGACCTCGGCACTAGATGAAAGAGAATGGTCAGTTTCACGCCCCGGCCGCTTTACCCCGGAGGGACAGTAACCTTAGTACACATTATATACGATGCTGGGTGGGCCCCAGAACCAGCCTGGACCCTGTGGGGTAGAGAAAGCTCTCTTGCCCCTGCCGGAATTGGAATACCGACCTTTCATTACGTACACCGTCGCTGACTGAGCTATCCCGGCTACTAATGTAAACCGTAAGATTTTCATAAGGATCTATTGTCGAATTTGTGTATATTTACACGTTTTTATATTGTCTTCAATATATTATGTGAAACGAAGCGTTACCGTTGATAGACATTATAACTCATTGACCTTAGTTTATAGTTTAATAATTGTGTATTGTTAAAGAAAGGCAGCTGATGAGTAGCCGTCGCATTTTTTGTTGAAGTCTATCATAACAATTGTTGAGTTCCTGCCCCAGTAATAGCTCTGATGCCGCATCGTATATCGAGGAATTGAAAGTGTCAGCATAGATCAAAGACGCATTTATGCTTCCATTTTTATGTTGGAAAAAAACATCAATTAGGCTGTTAACAAGAAACAGCTCGTTCGTAAAGGCATGCAATTACAGTAGCTTAAAATTGACTTTCTGGATCAACTGAGTGCCCTTCATAGTTAGCACAAGAGGCAAAAGTACAGTCAACATTTACAGTAAATAAACAGCATATCATTTACCATATTTCTTAACTGAATATGTGTCCATTGTTGACACGTGTCACTGATTCCAAACTTGAAAACTGTTTATATTGAACAGTGTTCTTAATTACTCAAAGTTATGACTTTTATGTTCTTCGAGGGCATTTTCAACTGTATACATAGACTGAGGATGTTTGAGAACAGGGTGATGAGGAGAATATTTGGACCGAATAGAGATTAAATTATGGGAGATTGGAAAAAACTGCATAATGAGGAGATTTATAACTTGTATGCTTCTCCAAGTATATTTAGAATGATCAAGTCAAGGAAGATGAGATGGGAATGGCATGTAGCACGAATGGGGAGATGAGAAACGCATATAGGATATTGGTGGGAAAGCCAGACGGGAAGAGACCACTAGGAAGACCAAGACATAGGTGGGTGGACAATAATAAAACGCATCTTAGAGAGATAGGGTGCGATGGTATGGACTGGATTTGTCTGGTTCAGGATAGGGACCAGTGGAGGGCTCTTGTGAGCACGGTAATGAATCTTCTGTTTCCATAAAATGTTGGGAAATTCTTGAGTAGCTGCATAATTGACGGCTTCTCAAGAAGGGCACGGCTCCATGAGTGAGTGAATGATTTTAAACCGTATAGGTTGAGAAAACTTCATTAGACGGGGAGATGATAATGCTTAATGAACGAGTAAGAGTTTGGAAGGAGGGAGTCGTGCTCTGTTTGAAGACGTGCGCCTGAAGCTACCGTGGCATGTAGATCCATTGCTAGGTAACAGCCACGAAAAAAGCAACTATACAACAGCCGTTTCTAAGTAATGACTCCGAAAATAAGCATGTTTCCACGACAAGAGGACACAACAGTAAAGGGAATCGGTGTTTTCTACGCGGTCCGTGCCGAGATATTATAAGCGGGACAAGTTGGGAGTTGTAGTTAATGAGTGAAGAGTGAGTTGGTTGTTGAGTTAGTTAGATAACCGTTGGGGTTCAGTCCTTGTGAGCTGTTGCTGTTAGAAGCTGGTAGCTGAGGCAGGGGACAGTTCGGGAACCCAGAGTAAGAGGAATGTCCGCCGTTGAAAGTCGCTATCAGGCAACAGCTAATAAAGATTATAACATACTGAGAAGATTTAATGTGTGTAATAGTGAACTGTAATGTGTAGTCACGCACTGTATCAAAGTATACAAATATCCGGTCATCAATCCAAAGACCGTATATAGTCTATCACATGACAATACCTACTAAATAGAAGCATAGAATTTCACAGATGCACCAACGTGCTTTGTGTGTTTTCTTGACAAAAATGATCAAAGTATAGTATAACAGGTTGTGTTTTTGGCATAAATATTTACTTATGCTATTTGACAATGCTTTTATGTGTGATTTTCGTTGGTCCCACGTTTCTTGAATTGGAATTTCCTGCTGAAGAGTTCAGAGCTTTGGAACAGATCCTTCTTTGTGTTCATGTTATTTAATCTTACATGGCACGCAAATGGAGAGGACATTTCGCTTGGAGCAGTCCACGAGGCTGAAGAATGGCAACGAAAGACGCTAAACACATACAGACAAACGTACATACCTAAGGCGCGACTAAACCTGTAATCTGTGTCACCAGCATGCAACAGTCATCATGTCCAAAGGAAACTCACGTGTTTACATGCCACAACGAACGCAATATTATTAACATTTCTTTTGAAAGTTATAGTACCAATTATTTAATTGTAGCTGTAATTGTTTGTAGTGGGCCTGGAACGGGGTCCACTTAGCCTCGTGAGGATAATTGAGGAGCTATTTCAAGGAAACAGCGGTTCCGGCCTAGAAAACCGAGATTAACGGCCGTGGGGATCCGTTGCGCTGACCACGCGACACTCTCCATCCGCTAAAATTGACACTAATTTCGCTGATAAGCGGCGGTAGCTCGGTTGGTATAATTA